CCTAATTGTTCTTCTTCCCTTTCCCTGAATGCTTTATATATTCAGTGATACATTATGCTGACTTAACTCCTTACCAAAGTCCTCTTCACCTACTTGCACTCAGTTTCTATGAACCAAGTAGCTAAGACTTAAAAAATTACATGGATTACATTTTGTTTTATACTCAGCATAGTGCCCAGTACCTGGTACCCTACAACCAATTGTCAAATTCATAAATTAACTTAGGTAACTGATAACAGAACAGCAGATCTGGGTGTGTCATCAAAGACTGTACAACTCCCTCATATTTATGGCTAAAAAACTGAGCTCTTCGGGAGTATGTATAAATTGTCCAAGGTCACAATCACTGGCGGTTTTCTATTATCCATTTTAATGCTTTTTCCATTATAAATTGATTGTGCATTAGAAGAGATAGTCGTTTTTATGGACAAAGATTAAAAGTGAATCCTGAATCTCAATTTTTCTCCATAAGAAGACCTCCTCCATTCAGCCAGGCTGCTGGGACAAACCTATAAAATGTTCCACCTGCTTAAACTGCTTAAAATGTGCTCCAGATGCTTGCTCACCACCAGCTCAATTTGAGGTCAAGAACTAGGAATCCAAAAAGGAAGTTAAAACATATATCCTTACCTGACCTGTCCTTTTGCCAAGGAATATGATAGAATCCTATCTCAATCAGACTTCTGGAGGTGGTTGATAAGGTGTCCCTTAAAAATGCTGGGGAATAACAATAGAAAATAACAAAAGGATGAGGAAGTGAAAATAACAATCTGGAGCCTATGAAAGCTCTAAAGTCTAGAAAAAGAAACAGAACTGAAAGGTGTTCCTTCTCTGAACTAGAATTTTTCCATGAAACTAAAAAAAATTTAGTCTTCCAGAGGCTGCCAGCCAATTCACCCAGCACCATTTGTTAAATAGGGAATCTTTCCCCCAATTTATGTTTTTGATAGGTTTATCAAAGATCAAGTGACAGTAAGTGGTTGGGTTCATCTCTTGGTTCTCTATTTTGTTCCATACATCTACCTCTCTGGAGAGAGCGCAGGGAAGAATTTGAAGAAACTGGCCTGGGAGAATATTTTATGAGGAAGACTCCTGGCAATTGAAGCAACATCAAAAATATATTACTGGAATTTGATCCAATGAAAAAGCTTCTGCATAGCCAAGAACATAGTGAGTAAAGCAAGCAGACAGCACTCAGAATGGGAGGAAGATATTTGCAGGTTATATTTCTGACAAAGGTTTGATAACTAGAACCCACAGAGAATTCTAACTAATTAATAAGAAAAGAACAAGTGATCCCATTTCACTGTGGACAAGAGACTTGAACAAAAGCTTTTCTGAAGAAGACAGGCTCATGGCCTACAAACACATGAAAAAATGCTCATCATCTGTAATCATCAGAGAAATTCAAATCAAAACCACTTTGAGATAACATCTAACTCCAGTAAAATTAGCCCATATCACAAAATCCCAAAACTACAGATGTTGGCACGGATGTGGAGAGAAGGAAACACTTCTGCACTGCTGGTGGGAACGCAAGCTAACACATTCCTTTTGGAAAGAAGTTTGGAGAACACTTAGGGAACTAAAAGTAGACCTGCCATTTGAGCCTGCAATTCCTCTACTAGGTATATACCCAGATGATCAAAAATCATTTTACAACAAAGATGTTTGTACCAGAATTTTTATGGCAGCCCAATTCACAATCGCCAAGTCATAGAAGTAGCCCAAGTGCCCATCAACCCTTAAATGGATTAACAAATTGTGGTTTATGTGTACCATGGAATATTATGCAGCCATAAAAAAGATGGAGACTTTACATCTTTCATGTTTACATGGATGGAGCTGGAAACATATTCTTCTTAGTAAAGCATCTCAAGAATGAAAGAAAAAATATCCAGTGTTCTCAGTACCATTATGAAATCAATATATAATCACCACACTTTCATACGAATGATAAGACACAACTACAGCCCAGAATGAAGGAGGAAAAAGGAGCAGGAGGGGTGGGGAGGCCAGGTGGAGGGAGGGTAATTGGTGGGATCTCACCTATTGTGCATAATGCAAGGTTACATGTCAGATCTATTAAGAGTAGAGTATAAATATCTTTTTTTTTTTTTCTGTGATAGAGCCTCAAGCTGTCACCCGGTAGGGTGCCATGGCATCACAGCTCACAGCAACCTCCAACTCCTGGCTTAAGTGATTCTCTTGCCTCAGCCTCCCAAGTAGCTGGGACTACAAGCACCTGCCACAATGCCTAGGCATTTTTTGGTTGTAGTTGTCATCAATGTTTGGCAGGACCGGGCTGGATTTGAACCCACCAGCTCTGATGTATGTGGCCAGTGCCTTAGTGGCTTGAGCTACAGGCACCGAGCCAGAGTATAAATGTCTTAACACAACAAATAATTAAGTGAGGTGAAGGGTATGTTAGCCAGTTTGATGTAAGCATTCCAAACTGTATATAAAATCAGCACCTTGTTCCCTATAAATGCATTAATGTACATAGCTATGATTTAATAAAAATAATAAAAATAAATTTAGATGGCACATGATTGATATCTAACAATGAGTACAAATATCACACACACAGAATAAGCTAGAATGAACACCACATGAAATGCATAGGACCTCTGTAAGTTCACCACCCAAGGGACTACAACAAATTGGTCAACATAAGGAACATGTGGTGCATGTCCCATTTATGAAAATTAAGCCAACTAAGGAGGTGGGCAATTATAGAGGTTCTACTATAGTTGAAAAGAAAATGATCCTTCAAAGGAACATTTTGAATAAAAACAAAATCAAGGCAGAAGATGACAACTATTGAACAACCATGAACCAGGCCTTTTAAATCTGTATTTTACTACTTTTCACTCACCAAGAAAATAGGCTTTAACAATTAAGTAGCTGACACTCACTAGCAAATGACAAAGCCAGAATTCAACAACAGGTCTTTTTGGTTCAAAAGCTTGTTTGGATCTTTATACTATGACTCTACCTTATATAGAACAACTTGTCAATGCAGAAATTGACAATATTTTAGAATTGAGAAAATAAATTAAAATTTCAAAAGAATGGAGAGATCATGGATTAGAAATTTTCCACAGAATGAAAAAAGGACCATATATTATAATGAAATATTTAAGGGAAACATTTTAAAAGAACTAATATTATAAATTACAATAAACTACCATATTCCTGCCAAAATGTTTAAATGTTAATTCCACAACCCAGTGACATGTGTTGGTAAAATGTGTATTTCTACAAAGGAACTGTAACTTTTAAACACATGAGAAATCAGGTTAGCATTTGTATCTCTGAAACAATGGCTCTAAGACAGCATAGCACCAACTTAGAGGAGAGAATTAATCATATGCAACCAAGACAATCATATGTAGAGACAGAAAAATATTTTTATATAAACTTCGGTAAATTTCTATACAACTGCCTCAGAAACACACTCAAAGCCACCAGGGGCAGAGAAAGAACATCTCTATGTAATAATACAGAAGCAAACGTCAAGTGACTCCCCAGCTTAAATTTTCTTTTCAGATTTAAAATATCCTGATTATTCCTTTCAGGTTTAGATTCTTACTTAATAGAGTAGACCTTAATTCAGGAGTCATTTTCCCTACTTACCAGACATGGGCTCCGCCTAACCCAAGATGAGCTGAACCAACTAGATTTTCTCTCCAGCACATAATCAAAACTACAATCCACAAAGTGGCCTTGTGATTGGTGGTTAATGGAGCTGAAAGCTAGGCCTTGCAGAAGTTGCAATTGAAAAAAAAATGATAATAAACATTAAACCCAAGTTACAGAGTTAAGTAAAACATTAACACCAAGTGTACAATCACTGATTAATCTAAATAGCTATAGTAACTGTAAAACCCAAGGGGAAGGGAATGGTCTATAAAGAGAGTTAATAAATTATCAGGAAAGAAAATCTACAGAGAATTCATTGGCATCAGTACCCAGGAATCTCAAGTTAGTGTTGTTTACATAGAAATAAAGGGATACAGCAATGAATATGAAAATATATGAAAAGATGTTAACTAAAAACTAAATTAGTTTAATGTCCAAATTCTAACAAAATTCAACCATGTATTTCAAAAGGAAAAACTAAAAGTTGAAACAATTAACTCTCAAAATAACATAAAAATATAAAGCAGACCAAGAATAAAAATTTAAAGTGTATACACACAGACACACGCACACAAACTGTCTAAATTTACCTATTGAAAGTGTTTCAAATTCCATTTCAAGTTGTACATATCAGAACTTGAATGTAGCCGCCATGGGACCAAGGATTTATGTCTTTGATCACTGTACCTTCAGCACCCAGAACACTGCCTAGCAGTTTTGTGATTGAATGATTACAAAAAGAATGCTATCAAATTTTACCAAAATTGCTCACTACAGGTAAACAGTCCCTCTAACTCAGTGCAGAGGAAAACTCTACACAGACACTTTTCTAAGCAACAACGTAAAATGCAAGCCACAGCTTTAAAAACATGCATAGTCTTTATGCTAAAGATTTACTACAAAAATTTATATGAAGTCACTAAATGGGATACAACATTTTTATTTACAATAAACAAAAGTCACCTAATGTCCTGCCCTAAACCCCTCTAGCAGGTGACCAAATAAATTATAATCCATCTAGACAAGGGAATCCCAGGTGCTCAAAAAAGTAAAGATACTGTAGACATTTACGCTAACATGGAAAATGGCAATAAACTTTAAAAGAGAGGCTACAAAAGAAGATGAACAGTACAGACCTACTGTTACATAAAACCAAACATCTGGAAGAATCTGTATTAAAAGTGTATCCTCCCAAGTGGTAAGATTAAAAGTGATTTTTATTCTTTTTAATTATATTTTCTAATGTTTCTACAATATTATGGTGATGGGTACACCTAAAGCCCTGACTTACTCATTATACAAAGTATCCATGTAACAAAATTATTTGTATCACCTTAATACTTTGAAATTGTAAAAAAAAAAAAAAAATCCTTTATAAGAATCTGAAAACATTTTTTCTTGAAAGAGTAATACTACAGGCTATGAAGTAGTGTCAAGTAAAATATTAATGTCAAACAACATATACCCACTGAAAAAATACAACATTCTTCACTTTTTAGTTCTGTAGATACATCTGATACCCAGACTAATCTTGCTACTTCTGAACATGCTTTCATTAACTAGTCCTAGTAAGGAAAGAAAATCATACAAGAGGTTATAAACTAGCAGAAGAAAGCAATAATTTGGCACTTACACTCTAGCTCTTGGTGAGATCTTAATCTATTTAAATAACAATGCTATTTCAAATATAAACCACTAGACTAGGCAACATTAAGAATTAGATAACCTTCAGAAGGAACCTTCTTCAATAAAAGATATTAATCCAATACAATCTCATATATAATGTCATCTTTAAACTAAAAAAAAGTTTCAATTAGGGCTCACTAATCATGTTACACTCTTTCAAAAGACAGACTTTTTAGAAACAAAAGTTTATTCTCATTTTGTTTAAATAGGCTTACACAGGTAGTAAGTGGAAAACAAAAACTTGTATTAACTAGGCTATGTCAATCATTTGTAAAATCTGATACATTGTTCTTATTTGAGGTACAGAATTCAGAATATATTCTAAAAAACACATTTTAAGAAATCTCCAGCTTCCTGTGCTAAAAAATGAGAAAGACTGTATTACAAAGATGCCATCTTTTAATTTCAAGTGCCCCACTTACTTTCCACAACCAAAAGTTCTATTCCAGTTTTCATAAAGCTCTAAATCTTTTGGAGACACACTAGGTCGTACAGTTCTAAAAGCATTTTCAAAATCAATATAAGCTATTGGTCGAACTTGATCTGGTGTTATGGTAGCAATGTCAGCAGTCTGTAAACTGCGAATAGGGCCAAGAGAAGCCTCTCTGCAAAGCTGCGTCATGTCTGCTCCTGAGAACCCATCAGATTGCTGTACAATCTGTCTGATTTCTTCTTCATTGAGGTGACACTGCTCCTTGGACATAAGATTAATTACTATCTGTTTCCTGGCTGAAGCTTCTGGGAGGGGAATATAAAGCCTTTTCACCAATCTTCTCCTGGCAGCCTCATCAATTTCTTGTGGCCGATTTGTTGCTCCCACCACTAGAATACGATCTTCAGAAGATGTGGTTGCTCCATCTAACTGAACTAAAAATTCGGTTTTTATCCTTCTAGAAGATTCATGCTCACCATCTCCCCGTTGAGATAACAGGGAATCAATTTCATCAATAAATATCACAGCTGGTTGCTGACACCTTGCAACAGCAAACAATGCACGGACCATTTTCTCCCCCTCACCTACCCATTTAGAAGTTAAGGATGAAGCAGAGATGCTAAAGAATGTTGCCCCAGACTGACTAGCAATGCACTTGCCAATTAGAGTTTTACCAGTCCCAGGAGGACCAAAGAGCAAAATTCCTTTAGGGGGTCCCCGTAAACCAGTAAAGATGTCCGGCCTCATCATGGGCCACACAACTATTTCCTTTATTGTGGCTTTAGCAAATTCTACTCCTGCAATATCTTCCCAATTTACTGGAGGCCCATGATCCATAATTTCATTCATAATAAGTTCAATCATTTTTGGTTCCAAGTTTTTCAGATGCTCATCAACTGGAAGCCCTGGTTCTGTAGGTCCTGCCCCGTAAGGCTTATACTGCATTCCTCCATTCTGTTCTCCCCCATCTTGCTTAGGTACAGGAGGAACAAACTTTCCAAATATTCCTCGGGATCTACTAGCTCCCAGAGACTTTTTTATAACACCATATGAAGACCCTGATGCACGCTGGGGTTGGTGGTGCTTTTTTTGCTGATCTACCCATAATTGTTCTTTTGCAGTTTTAAAAGTAGGCAGGCTGCTATCTTCCTTTTGCCCATTATCTTCTGTCCTACTAAAAGCCTTATTCAGTATTGGATTGGAAAATGCATCAATGGTGCCAGAACAATAAAAAGATTTCCTTTCCCGTGGATTTTCACAATCAGCAGAAAAATATGACTGATTAGTTGAGAACATATTTAGTCCTAGGTTGTTTTTTGGAGAGCTATAATTTTCCTTTTTGATATTTCCAAATAATGGTGTGGCATGGAATTTTGCAGTAGCTGACTCACCTAAAGGCACAGAAAATGTAGGACAAGTCTTAGCAGTATTAGTTACCACAGGTGACTGGGCATTCTGATGGCATTTCAAAGGATTACTCTCTGGGAAGTCTTCGGTCCTACCTATATCAAGAGTTGAGTTAGCTAATAGGTCACTCTCTCCAGAACCACCACAAACACTAAATTTAGGAAGATCAAAGACAAAGGCCTCCTTAAGGATTAACACTGATGCGTCAGAAGGTTCCAACAGAGAATCTTTAAAATTTTTTCCAGCTTGCATCATCTTCTGTACATTACTCATTTTGAGAACATTACTTATTGACAATCCAGATTGCCACTTGTCACTGTCAGTTTGTTGAGATCTTGCCAAAGTTAAAATGTTTTCTGCATAGTTATTCAAGCCATATTCAACATTGTCAGAATCAATAATTGCAGAATATTTCTCTGCATATTTTTTAAACAGTTTGGTAGCACAGACCTGGGAAATCTCAGAGTTTGCCCATGCATACTGAATGCGTAATATCTGTGCACGGTATGCATCTGCTTTCTGTCCTGCACATATGCCAGATGTAATTGTAAAGTAATTCCTCTGCCACTCATTCAGGTGCACAGACCTAGAGGTGGAGGTCTGCATTTTAGAAAGTTCTATAACAAATGACAAAAATGAAAATGAATCAGTATTAAGAAGAAAACAAAAATGTTTATTTGAGTTTTTAAATCTCTGCTAATCTGAAGAAAGGTAATAAGGCTTTTTATCTATAAGGTAAATTTATAAGGACATAAATATAAGAGAAATATCTAGTTAACTAGAGAGTTCAAGTATTCAAGATACACTGATATAAAGCCTTCCAGATTAAAGACTTGACTTAATAATTTTTTATGAGTTAAACTGTTTTAGCTATATAATAATTTTCTCTGTGGGTAGGGAAAACAGTGATAGGATTTAGATAAAAAAAGATTTTAAATTAATCAAAAAAGAAAAGCAATAATAAGAAACAATGGAACAACAGTTATACAAAACAAACCAGAAGTTCAAGTCTGGTCTCTGAGAGAAAGTATATGAAGGATCTTAAGCAAGCCTTTTACTATAAATGACCTTAATTTTCTTATCTGTAAAGTGAGAGGAACCACTGTGTGAATCAAACCAAGTAATGAACATGAAAATAATCTGAAAACTACTATCATTATTCAATCTGTTGGACATATATAGAAACTGAGGCTAAAAGTTAAGGAACTTACTTGAGAACATACAGCCAATTATGAACGATGCCAGAAATCTGACACAAGCAGTTTCACTCCAGATATGATGCACATGTACACAACACTCCTCAATGTTACTAGCCTAGGTCACAGATTGAGCAGCATGAATCCTAAATATAAACTAGGACATATTTAAATGTTTAATGACTTACTCAGGAATAAGCATCTAAAACAGGATGCCCCAGAATCTCACACAGTCTCCTAATTTCAATTAAAAAGTGAAATTATTACAATAAATAAAATGAGGACAAGTTAGTAAGTTTATTAGTAAAGTGCTTGTACTTTAGGCCAGGCATGGTGGCTCATGCCTGTAATCCTAGTACTCTGGGAGGCCAAGGCAGGCATATGGCTTGAGCTTGGGCGCTCCAGACCAGCCTGAGCAAGAGCAAGAACCTGTCTCTACTAAAAGAACAATATTAGTTGGGTACTGTGATGGGCAATGGTAGTGCCAGCTACTTGGGAAACTGAGGCATGAGAATCTCTTGAGCCCAAGAGTTCAAGACTGCTGTTAGCTATGATGAAGCCATGGCACCCAACCCCAGGGTGACAGAGACTATCTCTAAATAAATAAATAGATAAATGATGTGTTTTTACTTAAGATTTCCTCTCTCAAGTTATATTTATAAGCTTCTTCACTTTACATTATATTCTAACAGAATTGTAAATCAATGTATCATGTTGCTAGGTGTGTAGAATTTACCTGAAATCCCCATTGCAAAGTAAAACTTTTTAGATTCCCAAAAGCATTACAATAAAGACCAAGAACTCATGCATTTGGAATTTTACTTTCTACATTAAGTATAGCTTAATAAGCAATAGTTCCTTTTAGTTCAAGAGCCATGTTTAAATATAGCTTTGTATATCCCAAAATGCCTTGCAAAGAATTTGTCATGTTGTAAATAGGTGTTAATAAATCTTTGTTAAAAAAAAAAAGAAAATTTAACATCCAGTGAGACTATAATTTGTTTAAAGTTATAAAGCTAAATAGAGTGAAAACTAGAACTCACCTCCTCTGAAGCAGTTCATCCTTTTCACTATACCATTTTAACTTTTATTTTAAACTCACTTATGAAATACTGGAAATGAGAAATGGAAAGAGAGGTGACTTAGAAAACATCATTTATTATGATCATCCCCTTACTCTCAATGGCTTCATTTTACTTTATCATCTGCAGTCCCAAGATTAGCTCAATGCCTACTATTCCCAGAATCTCCTCCTTTCTACCTCACCTTTTTCCTCAATATTCATCAACCAAGTCTTACTTCCTTGCAATATTTACACAACAAATATGGATATGGATGACCCAAACTAGCCATCACTGATAAGTGATACAGTCACTGTCCTGTTTATCCTTTCCAAGTCAATTTAAAAGCCAGGTGAACAAACTAAAAGAGCTAGCAGGCTGAAACTCAGGGATTGCTTCAGGACAGGAGTTGGAGGCCGCTATGAGCTATGATTCGACCACTCCAGCCTGGGTGAGACCCTTATCTCTTGAAAAAAAAAAAAATTAACCTTTATTGCCTTTCTTAGGTATAACAACCATGGTTAATTAGCACTGACATACGAACTGCATTTTAATCTTCTTTATTTTAATAGCATTCTGATTTTAAGAATGTGACATTTGTCATTCCAACTAGATAGTCAGCTTCTGCAAGTGGGAACTGTTTACTATTACATTTAAATTCTCTCTGTTGCACCTGGAATACAACATCCATTACAGCTACTAAAACACTTGACAGGCCTCCTACCACGTGGAAGACACCGTACAGAACTCTATTCTAACAACAAAACAGCACGGGACTTAGAGCCAGACTGCCCGTGTTCACGTCCTGATTCTGTTATCTGCCAGCAAAGACCCTGAATAGGTCTCGTAATCGCTCCGTTTTCACTATAAAAAGAACGCAGTTCCATCACTGAGATGACAGGATCTTTTAATTCTGCGAAACACTCAAAACCGCCCTCAGCACTCAGAAAATACTCCACAACATACCATTATTATTCCTCACAATGGTCCCTCACAGAAGGGGTCACTCTTTCTTACCACCGAGGTCAACAACTCGCCTCGGCTCACAGGCCGGGACCAGCAAAGGGCCGCACTGGGAGGGAATCGGTGAACTCCTGAGGAGAACCGACTCCGGCCCGCCCTCAAACAGACTCTGCCAAAGGAGGCAGCCCGGGCCGCCCCCGCCGGCCAGCCTGTCCCCACAGTCCGCCGCCTCGGCCCACTTTCTGAAGGCTGGACGCGTCTCTGAGGACTGACCGACCAGCACCCTCCCCACAACAGAAGGAAAAGAAAATAAAAAGGCGCCAAGGAAACAACCAGGGCACGGACACGCTGAGGCTGCCGCCCGCCCAGACTCCACCCCCGACACCGGGCCCTTCCGCCTGCGCCCTGGCCCCGGACCCGCGGGGGTCAGCTACACCCGCACCTCATCCCGTCTCCCGTCACCACCGCCGACCTGCCAGTACCGGACGACAGAAGCCTCCAAAAGTCGCGCGAAAGGACGTGCGCCTGCGCACTGCTGACGAGCTCGGTCCCGTGCCGTGCGTACGTGCGTAAGGCGCGTAGGGCGCGCACGCGCCGGGCCGCTGTCGTGATTGGGGCATCGCCGGGGCTCTTGGGGCACCTAGCCCGGGACCTTCACCCTGGCCTGCCATCTTCTGATAAAGATTTATTGCAGGTATTCTCCTGGAGGAGGCCTGCTAGCTTTCCAGCAATGATGGGTTCACATGAAGTAATAAGTTGTAGTTCCACTGTATAAAGACTTCATATTTTAAAGTTATCCGAAATAAAGACGAAGCGATGAGAATTGAAAATTATGATTCTGATAGATCGTGACTTACCTGGACTCTCCTGGGAGAGCAGACAGCCCACTGTCTGTGCTACGGGCAGGAGTCGCTGTGTGTAAGCTCAGAACAGTGCAGGTGCCCCCTCGTGCTCAGCTCCCACCCGCTCCCCACGGGATGCTTTTCGCTGGCCGAAAGAGGGGACTGAGTAGCGTGCAAAATTGGGATGCATTGTAAAGATGAAGTAAGGAACTTCAGATACCTACTGTCTGTTCTGCCTGAATCTGAAAGCTCAGATCTACCCCTCAGCTAGCACTTGGAGGACCCTGAGCTGTTTAGGGACACTTAACCTGGAAGGCTTTGAAAAGCATTCTATTACTACCTAATACTTTGTGCTGGAGCAAGGTCTCAGACAATAGCAGCTATTTCTCCATTAGCTGCTTGGGTTTTCAGTAAGGGAAAATAAAACAGCCACTCAGAGTGAAAGAACATATAATAAAAGTCAGTAAGACTAGGACAGAAATGACACAGCTGGTTTGATTGTTTTAGGTGCTTAATGACCTCACCTCTTTTCAGTCTTACTGTTTTGAAAATTTAGCTCCCACCCTAAAGATGACAGTCTTGAGTTGTTTAGGAAGATTGGTTTAAGAAATTGACTTTTGAATTAGAAATGTTGTAATAGGTCACTGAATTGTGCTGATGATCATTTAAAATAAGGGTTAAAGCAAAGTGGTCTTTGCTTTAGGAGGATTGATTTAAGATACTAATTTTTTGGAGACAGAGTCTCAAGCTGTAGCCCTGGGTAGAGTTGCCATGGTGTCATAGCTCATAGGAACCTCCAACTCTCAGACTCCAGTGATCCTCTTGCCTCAGTTTTTCTATTTTAGGAAGAGATTGGGGTCTTGCTCTGGGCTGATCTTGCCGTGAGCTCAAGCTATCTACCCGCCTTGGCCTCCCAGAATGCTAGGATTACGGGCGTGAGCCACCACACCTGGCCTAAAAGATTAACTTTAGATTTTGAAATGTTGTAATAGATTGTCACTGAGTTGTAGTGATTATTATTTAAAATAAAAGTTAATGTGGTTTTGCTTTGAACCTTTTTGGATAAAACTGATTTTGGAAATGAACAGAACAGTCTTGGAGAGGCTACTCTCAACTGTTCTCCAGAATTGCCAGCCTTCTGACAAATTAAGTTTGTTGGACCTATCCCTATTTCTGCATATTGGTTGATGGGCGGCAGCTGGACCTCTTCATTGGTAACAAGAGTGGAAGTCTGGAGGTTGACAGGAAATCCAGGCCTGGGATGTGATTCACAGATGTCATGAACATCTTTGCATTCTACCATCCGCTGACCTGTAGATTTCCTTCCCCAGCTTGTCACTTCATTTTTGCAAAATGGCCCTCACAATTCCTGCTAAGCTGTTGCATGCAACCATATCTACAACATGAAGAAGGAGGCAAAGTGAGAAAGGACTTTCCCCCGTGAACATTTCTCTTAGAAAAAGAAGTAAAGTGTTTCCCAGAAAGCCTTAGTAGTCTTTCTCTTGTACATCCTTGACTAACTGGTGCACTGAGGGAGATAGGATCTGTGGATTTGGCTTTTCAGGGTTCACATCCCAGCTCTATTTGCTGAGAGTTGTTGGGGTCAACCTAGTTGATGTCTGAAGATCATTTAGTCTGGAGCCTGCCCCTCATTAGCACCACCACGTGTTGGGTATTGTCTTTATGGCCAGGACTAGCCCTTTGCTCCACACAGATTGCTCTGATTAGAACTTGGGACTGAGGCTCAGTGCCTATGGCTCAAGTAGCTAAGGCGCCAGCCACATACACCTAAGGTGGCGGGTTCAAATCTAGCCTGAGCCCACCAAACAACAATGATGGCTGCAACCAAAAAATGGCTGGGCGTTGTGGCAGGTGCCTGTGGTCCCAGCTACTTGGGAGGCTGAGACAGGAGACTCGCTTGAGCCCAGGAGTTGGAGGTAGCTGTGAGCAGTGAAGCCATGGCACTCTACCCAGGGGGATAGCTTGGGACTCTGTCTCAAAGAGGAAAAAAAAAAAAAAGAACTTGGGACTGAAAAGTAACCCGCCCTTGTTGGTGTTGTTCTGTTTTCTTTTACTCTTTTTCTTTTTAGGTTCCTTAACTTTGCTAGTTAGAAATGTAGCCAAAAGATCTTATTTTTGCAGAATATTAGAATGTCAGATATAAAAGAAAGCTTAGAAATTAATTTTCAGTCCAATTTCTGTCACATGGAAGAATTTCCTTTACTACTTCTCAACCCCTTCTCCAACCCCCGTCTCCACTTGGGCACCCACAATGCTGGAGAATTCACTGCCTATAAGAAAATATTTTCTACTTGCTGATAGGCTGACTTTTAAGTTTTGCTTCATCTTGAAAAAAAAATCTGTTTTCCTGTCACTTCCTCTTTAGAGCTACTGAGAAGACTTCAAATTAAAGTGAAGACTCAAATTATAGAAGACTCAGCTGCTATAAGTCTTCCCCACTAAACGTCTTTCCACTTTGAACTCCCCTCATGTGACTTGGTTCCTCTCTAATCGCAGAAGATAGCTCCAACTCTTACAAATGCTGGGGCAGGATCTGACTTGGACATTTTGGACACTTTGGGAATCTTCTGTAGTTTAGCCCACTCCTTTCTTTCTTTCCCTTCTCTGCTTTCTTCCACCCCCTGTTTCACACGTCTGCTTTGGAGAGCCACTCCCAGGTTTCTCTAAAATGGTAGTTAGAAATTTACTCAACAGTTGATGAAAGTACTTTGCTTTCACAGTGCTTTCTAATTAACTTTTCCCTTGTTACTTACTGCAAGCATAGGATATATCAGGTAACACAGAGGTACTGAGGAAGTAGATTTTGATATCAAATACAGTAAAGAAAAAAAGGCAAAAACAATTCTAGGGTTTGATATTTGGGGCTGTAAATCCTTAGATCAAAAGGCCGTCAGGCAACCTCCACATATTCTCTCACAGGAAGGCTTCCCGAACTTCACATCACCAGTTTCTAACTTGCACGTCTATCAGGTTTCCCAGTTAAGGAGCTCAGGCAGGCGTGGAGCCCAGGGCTATTGGAATCTGCCTTCCCTGGGGACTTCTCTCTGCAATTCCTTTGAATTGCAACCTCCTGATGATCACATGGTCATCCTGTGACCCTCCCTCCCCTTTTTACCTGGAGATTTTCCATAGTCTCCTTTATTGATGAGTGTATGGTCAGCCTGAATGGGATTCTCCGGTTTGAAAAGTGCTGCTGTTTGCTGGATTTCAGGGAGGAGATACATGATCTCAGCGGTTAGTTGTCTCCAGATCAATCTAGGACTTTCCAACACTAAGTAGAAAGTGCCTGGAACTCTGGGAGGCCGAGGCAGGAGGATCTTTTGAACTCAGGAGTTCAAGACCATCCTGAGCAAGATCAAGAAGCCATGTCCACTAAAAATAGAAAAGAATTGCCAGGTGTTATGGTGGGTGCCTGTAGTCCAGGCTACTCAGGAGGCTGAAGCAGGAGGATCTCTTGTGCCCAGGAGCTACTGTGAGCTTGGTTGACACCATGGCCCACTAGCCTGGGCAATAGAGTAAGACTCTGTCTCCAAAAATTAACTAATTAATTAATTAATTAAAAGAAGAAAAATATTTCCAAAGGAAATTGTTTGAGTAAATGCCATCTTAGTTGCAATTTATATTTACAGAAGCACTCTTCAGTTGCATGTTAATCATGATAGCATAGAGTGGATGGATTTGTCAGACAAGGAAACAGCATTAGTGAAAGTCCTTCTTCACTTGGATCCAGGTTGTTTCTTGATTCTAAATGTATTTCCTTAGAAGTGGAAGTCTAAGGTCCTTGCAAAACGTGTATGATGTTAATGAATCTAGAACAGTGCCTGACATATCTTGGTGCTCAATAAACACTTGTTGAATAAATTAATGCCATTTAAAAGTATCTAAGGATGCCATAGTTGGGGCTACTTTGAAGAGTTATCTGTATCACAAGAATCAATTTGATAAAACATAGAACAGAACCATTACCTGACCCAAGTAGCATTGTACATCAATTGTTTATTAGGCATTTAGCCACATGACAAAAGATGTTTTAAAGACCACAGGTACAATTTCGAGTCACGTGATCAGAGACTGGACAATAATTCAATAAGCCTTTCCAACCACAACTGCTAACTTCAAGAACATGAAAGTGCACAATTTTCAATCAACAAAGATCACAGCCAAATAATGAATAAAAACTGTAGCCACTGGAATTAACTTTTCATATAGCAAATACTATTTCTTCATTGGCAAGACACTGAAGAGATGTAACCACAAGTCTCTGAGTAACTGTGGAGAAAGGCACGTGAGGCCACATACAGGAGCCAGGATGAGGTTGACTTTACTCTCTCTCGTTTTCAGATATACTTCTCATCAACTTTTCATTTCTACAAGGAAAAAAATAGCATGAACATATAGCCTCATTAAAAAAATGAAGAATTTTGCAGATTTCTTATCTGAATATTGAGAAGGAATACACTACTTGTCCATTGGGAAACAGGCAACTGTGCAATGTAAAAAAAGTTTCAACTTGAAGAAAAGGGTCTGTATCACTAATCTGGCTACTCTATTGACAGATGGTATCACTGTCAGCTAGAATCTCTGCCTAATGTTTTACCTTCTGTAAAATAGGAATAGTTTCCATTTTCTCTCAAAACTGTGACCATGTGGATAGAATATCTTAACATCAAATAAGCATAATTAAAACCAAGATATTAAGATGATCAGCATTCTAATTAATCTGGCCAAAACACAAACATGCATTAGGATTTACTATTGTGTCCTTATTTTATTAAGTTGAAGTTGAACCCTATTTTTACCTTTGAATCTATAGCAAACATAATTAATGACTCCCCTTAGGATAGTAAGTTGCCTCGATAAATTCTGGTTGAAAAAATATGAGGGGAATTATAGAGATTAATGTAAGAAAATAAAAAGTAAAAATCTAAGTTTTTAAAGAATGATTGTAATGTACTGTTCCTTCTAGTTCTTTGGCCTGAATGTGATCCTGTTTTCTCTTCCTTATTGTCAGGTGGAAGACATTCACCCAGCAGGGCTGAGTGGCTGAGCTGGGAGGGGAGTGAGGATCCCAACCTGGACAGCCAGGGAATAGGCAGAAAGGACAGGCGGGCGGCCTACCTGCAACTGGCCCTGCCTTCATTCCCGCTCAGCTCTCAGCACATCCCAGGCCAGCTCCCTGATGTGCTCCCAGGCACGCTGCACGTGGGCCGACTCCACGGTGCGGGAGCAGATGGCAAAACGCAAGACAAACTTGTCTCTCAAGTGACAAGGAACCAAGTGGATTTTTTTGGCACTGTTTATTCTTTGCAGAAGATCTTCATTCATTTTGTTGGAACCCTAGAGGGGGGATTGAAAGAGAGGAACCATGTTCAGATCTGAGGACTCAAATACTCAACAAATCCCGTAGGAAGGCTGGTGTGTGGTGATGCTGTGATATGTCATTCACCTTGCATTTCTGATGTTGCAAAACTGAATTAAATAATAATTAACATGCCCTGATAGACTTCAGCCCCTCCCTATAAGACGATTTATCCCTGTTCTAATGGGCTGTCCAAAGATGACCCCCCATCTAAGTTTTTTAAGAAAAATGAAGATACCTAGAGATGTCATCTACACATTGATGAGTGTGAGGTTTCTGATGGCTCCAGAGAGATCTCTAAATTCTCATAGAAATGCGAAGCCTCAACAGGACAGAAAGTGAAGCATAATAATCAAGCTATTGCCAGACCCTAGGAAGAATGTCAGTGAAGCAGGGGACTGAGGACTTCCCAGCCCCAGGGAAGAACATAGCCTGAGGGGAACTGCCCCTGTCATGCAGCCCCAGGGCGGCCCTGCAGCCCCAGGGCAGCCCTGCCTCTCCTGCTGGGCCCTGCTTCCAGAGAGGCCAGTCTCCTGACTAATCTTTGTCCCCCCACACCCTGTCATTCTTCTGTTTCCACACAGTGAGTCCACCTCTAAACCACAGAGTCTCAGGTGGAAGGGGCTGAGCATGGGGCATTGAATCCTAGTCATTCAACCCTCACAGGACCACGCCACTTGTCCTGGCCCTGTCATCAGAGTCCAGAGGCAGGGAGGGGAGTGGAAAGGGAGAAGTGCAGTCTACACCCTCAGGAGATGACTAACACCCTCAGGAGATGCCTAATACCCTCAGGGGACGACTAACACCCTCAGGAGACTACTAACACCCTCAGGAGCGACTAACACCCTCAGGGGACGACTAACAACCTCAGGGGACGACTAACAACCTCAGGAGATGACTAACACCCTCAGGAGACTACTAACACCCTCAGGGGCGACTAATACCCTCAGGGGGCGACTAACACCCTCAGGGGGCGACTAACACCCTCAGGAGACGAATAACACCCTCAGGAGACGACTAACACCCTCAGGGGCGACTAACACCCTCAGGGGGCGACTAACACCCTCAGGAGATGAATAACACCCTCAGGAGACGAATAACACCCTCAGGGGGCGACTAACACCCTCAGGAGACGACTAACACCCTCAGGGGGCGACTAACACCCTCAGGAGACGACTAACACCCTCAGGGG